TAATTATCACTTTTATCATCAAAGTGGCCATAGTCTCGATTCTAATGAAGGGCGGATCAACAATTTAAAGTGTTTGGAACAGATGATAAAAATACATAAACAATCTTTCTGATTTAAGTTGTAGAACATATATACCAATTAAATATAATTTATATTTCACTCTTACGAAGAGTTTCATTAGTGGCAATTGTTATCAGCTAATTGTGTTCAAATTGATCGAGTAGTTGATGAGAATTACAAGCTGCACAACGTTGGTGAAGTGGAGTTTGTTTGATAAATATTTTACTGAATTACGATAAATATATTTTTTTTTTTGTGTGAGAATCGATTTCACCATGTCCCTCATTTCTCTCGGCCGGTGTCCCAGTTGGTTGAAGGCCATCTCCAACTGAAAACTCCTGAAACCCCTGAAACCCTCCATTCGTTTAAGGTTATGTTTTGTAGACAAATAAGCTAGTTTATAGCTTATTTGGTTAGTTGCTTACTGTATTCAAATTATAAGTCTTATTCGGTAGGACGAGCTTTTTAAAAAAACTCGAGCTTATTTGATAAGTTTTTTTAGGTAGCTTTTCAAAAAAGTTAATTGATTTTCTTATTCCAACTAGTTTATCACCTAATTTTATCAATCACGCTAATCATATAAGCTAGCTTTTCAGCTATAAGTCATAAGCTATAAGCTATAAGTTCGCTATCAGCTAGCTTATCAGTTATTAGCTAGCTAGTTTTACCAAACACAGCCTAAGGCCATTTTCAACCGAAAACTCTGTACTCAAACTTATTTTGCAGTAACTGTCAGTAATTCATCTCCGATCGAAAAATCAATTTTCGAACCCAAAAAAATATTTTTGGAATATTTTTTCTCACCTTAACTTTTATAACTTTTCAATACTACCTACATATTTTATAATTTTACAAATTAAATCACACTATTATTTTAAACTCAATTTGGACATTATTTTAAACTCAATTTGGACATATGTAATAAAATCAATTATAAATTTATTAGCATTGTGTATGTTATTTCTATATGTATTAGTAATGTTATTGTTATTTAATGAGAGTGTTTTCTTTTCTTGTTAATAAAAATATCATAAATAAGATTTATATTTTATATTATTATGGTGAAATATATAAAATTAAATGATAAATACAATATTATTATTTTAATTATTATGCTATTTAATTTTTATGAAACTATTTCTTTTAATTTTTTTACATTATTGTAGTGAAAAAAATAAATTACTTGTATATTTACTCTATTATGAACAAATATAAAATAATATCATATTAACTATTTTAAATATCATATTATATAATTTCATGAAAGTAAAAATAAAAAAGAAAGATTTTAGTATTTTTAAACTTAATTTTCAATTTAAAAGATTGTTTTATTTTTTTAATATTTATAAACTAAAGGAAACAAAAAAAAAAGAAAAAAAAAACAAATTCAGTTTACAAATAATAATATAACTTAAAAAGGACCAAGATGTAAAAAGAAATAATGAACGCATAATTTGCGTTTCGACGCATATTTGCGTCGAATTGAGGAGAGAGAGACAGAGAGAGAATCGCATTTTGCGATCCTTTTTCGGCGCCGCTTGGAGCTCCCGTACTGCAAATTTTGGGTTTTGCAGTACGGAGAAGGTCTGAACTTTTCGGCCAGGATTTGAGGGTTTTTGGTTTCAATTTACTTCTAGGGTGTGGGGTTTTGATCTGGAGTCTCTTGGCTTGACTAGTTGAACGAGGTGAAGGAGATTCGAGACAGTCCCAAAATGGTGGTGTTGAAATGGTGTTGTTTCAGGCAATTTGCCAATTGAGTTGTTTCGGTGTTCTCAAATCTTTATGTCTTGATTGCGGTTTCACTCGTCTAGGGTTGGTTTTTTTGAATTTTGGTTTGAAGGGGTGTTTGCGGTGGCATGTGGTTTAAGAGATATGGAATGTTTTATTTATTTATTAATGATTTTTTTATGTAGCACTAAAACAGCTCGACAAACCAACTTGATCAGGTAGCTCGACTAGGCCGTTCTAGGAGAGTTGTACTACGTCCAGAAATAAGTTATCCAGTCAACTCAGACTCGAGCTCAAGGTATTGGCCGACCTAAAGAAGACAACCTGAAGGTGCTGAACTCTAGAAGCTCGGTAGTAAAGCGACCTCGAGGTATTGAGGTCGTACGACCAGATGTCAGGTTAGATTTAAAGGTGAAGGCGAGGTCAGGATCGTCCTCGGGTAAGCCACAATAGGTAGGTTCGGAGGTAGAGGCTACGACTTAAGGACCTAAGGGTTGTACAGAAAGAGGGAAAGAATCCTAGTAAGAAGGAAAGAATTACTTACTCAGAGATAATTTCCTAGACAGAATTATATTAAACAATTGTATTTGTATTAGTAACTAATTTTGTGACCAACTCCCTATGTTACAAATAAGTATATATGATTTCAAATTGAAGACTTAAAATTGTAGCATATTCTAATTTATATAATTTTAATATACAACATAAATATCATTGATCGTCTACAAAAATAGTGACATTAAGTAACACTAAGTTGTAATACATTTTAGACAATTGATTTTATGTAACACATATATGTAACATTTTGTTATGTAACACTTTAGTAGCATTTTATGAATACGTGGCACTTGTATGTATCATTGTTTAAAGGTAATACTTCATAGGTAACACTTTTGGTAATTTTGTTTTTATGTAGCACAAAATAGGTATCATTTTAGTTAAATCACCCTTCATGTAACATTTATTAATTAATTAGTAACACATTCTTATTCTCATTTATTGAAATAAAATATAACATTTTTTTCTCATGTTATTTAAGCATCAATTAGATTCTTGAATTTGATATGAATCTGATGATTTGCCCTTGAATTTTAGAAATGATTATATAGAAGGTTTTGGTAACTTTGTGATAAAGTGTGAGTCAAAACTTATGAAATTGTAGGCAAAGTGTTCGACAAAATGCCCAAATATGTATGCGCCTCTTTTCTTTTCCTTTTTTTTGTTTTCTTTGTTTGACAAATAAATTTAATATGTCTTCTAATTAATAATTAGTACATGTTTCCCATCTTGATTTTGTTTTCATATTTTGTTAATGCTATGTCTGAGTATGTAAATTGGTTAATTATTTCATAAATTTAGCATGTTTTTACATTTAATGATCTAGGGTTGGGTTCACATGAGAATGATTCTCAATGAAAGAAATAAGAATACATCTTAGCCATCAAATTGAGTGATCCAATGGATAAAAAAAAAAATCAGCATTTTACATTCATTAAGGATAATAATGTAATTTCTCCATACTTTAAAACCAAATCTATTCAGACCACCCACACGTGTGTGGGTCCCACTCAACTAAACTCTCTCTAATTCAAACCACCTCTCATTAACTCTCTCTCTCTCACACACACATTCACACACACACCTAAGGGCATCTCCAATGGTAATAGCTATTACTAGCTATATGGTTAGCTGACGTGGATGTGAGAGATAAGAAAAATAATTATTTTACACTATTGGACCCATGTACTCCTCTCACATGATCTTGGGCTACGTCAAATAGATAAGCTATTTGTTAGTAGCTAGTGACTACTCTCTCTCTTACTTTTTCCATGTCCACGTCATAATAGTTAGCCAAATAGCTAACCATTGGAGAAGCCCTAACACCACACACACGCTATACCCGTCACACACACACACACACAGTCACACGTACACATCAGCACACACAGCCACATCAGCACACAACACACAAAAAACACACGCACAACACACACACACACACGCACAACACACATACACACATTGTCACAGACACATAAATTCATTGATACACACAGGTAGATACATTATTTGCAGAGCCCTCCCTTACCGGCCGATGTCTGTCTCCGCCGTCATCTGCAAAGCCCGCCGCCGCCGACGTCCAAAATCTCCAGCAGGGCACGCCGTCGAAATACAGTCGCCGGAAAATGACTAGCAATTAGTTTGGAGTTAGGGGCTTTTAATTGAGAATTTGATAACCTTGAAGGACTCAATTGCAATTTAAAGAATTTTAGGTAAATTCCAATTTAATCCTTGAGCTAAATATGTAATTTATAAGAAAATATTATTTTTTTATATTTTTTATACAAGGGCCAAATATACATATATATATATATATATATTATTTTCAAGAAAATAAATATAAAATATAAAAATAAATAAATAAAATTTAAATGTGTCTAAATTTGCATTATTCTCATAAATGCATGTTAATGATAAATAAAGTGAAATGTTGTTTAAAATTTTAATATGTAAAATTATAATATATAAAAATATTAAACAATAAAAACAATTTTATAATAACAAATAATAATTTATTTAAATTGTTTAGATTAATTTGATTTACAATTATATCTACCAATAATTATAGATTACGTGATCATATAAATTAGTGCACTTTATATATCATCGACTTGCACTTTATAAAACATTACGTTGTATTTTATAAAACAATGCATTGCACTTTATCATCACACTATACAATTAAAGTGAAACATGTTCCGCCAAAATACCACACAATATAAATTTAAAAAATGAATATACATAATATACTTTAACATCAATCAAATCATTTATCCATATATAACATGAGAATGTCAACATACCAAAATTACAGTAGTTAGCTTTATACACTAGTATGTTGCACTTTATAAAACAACGCGTTGCACTTTACAAAACAATGCATTACACTTTATTATCACACTATACAATTAAATTGAAACAAAACAATGCATTACACTTTATTATCACACTATACAATTAAATTGAAACATATTCCGCCAAAATACCACACAATATAAATTTAAAAAACAAATATACATAATATACTTTAACATCAATCAAATCATTTATCCATATAAAATACGAGAATGTCAACGTACCAAAATTACAGTAGTTCGCTTTATACACTAGTATGTAGCACTTTATAACACAACGTGTTGCACTTTACAAAACAATACGTTGCACTTTAACAAGCTATCATGTTGCACAATAAGAATCAAAATCGGCCAAACTCACAAAGTTTCAACCTAAAATAATATATAAAATTAATAAATATTAAATATAATTTTGATATAAATAAAAAGATTATTTCGATTTGATGTTGGGACAAGAGTTCAGATGGTTCAATCTGCACAATACAGACCGACATTGTGCACCATATTGTTACATGAATTGCACCTTAATAACTGTTATATTGCACATTATATTTCTTCTACATATATACTAATTTTTTAATTAAAAAATAACATAAAATATCAATAATAAAATATAAAATACTAATTCTAAAATCTATGAAAATTTAAATTGAATAACCATACAAATATTGTTAAAATTATATATCAACATTCTATATTGAATTGATTTTTAGTAAATGTACAATTAATCAGCAATTATATTGATTCATAATTAAAAGTTTTTTAAAAACTGTAAATTGGTCCCTATAGTTTATCTAATTTACCTAAAAAAAACCCCAAATCCATTTAAAAAATATGTGGGATGAACTCTCAGCCATGGACATTTTTTGTTCCGGCCGTCCATCTCCTTCAACACACCTCCAGCATAGATTCACGCAGCCGCCGCCGGACCGCCGCGTCACTGCCGTCAGCCGCTTCGTCACTATCAACCGACACAAACTCCTATTCTTTTTCCTCCGCACTGCAAAGCCTCCGTTCGCCTGCTCGTCGGCTCGTCTGTCAGCCGGCACAACGCCTCATCTCCGTCTGCAAGCATGTATCTTCGTCTCCGTCCGTCGCCGAGTCACACCGCCGCCGTCCGCCGCCGCGTAGCTTCAGTTCCATCAGCCGCTACCTTTCGTCGGTGGTCGCAGGCTCCAATTGGTCGTTGACATCAACTGGTTGAAGACGGCGATGACGCGGGCTGAAGGAA